TTGTGGATTTATCGCAGGACTCGGGAGGGATGTCGGTGACCTGTGTTCGAGGAGGGGTGACAGGAGAGGAATTGGGAGATTTGCGTTTTGTCTCCGCAGATGGCAAATTCTCTACCGTGTTCGTCTGTTGACTCGACGTCGCACGAGGTCGTCTTACTAATCGTCGTCTGTAACGTGGTCGTGGATTTCTCCGCGAATTACCGAGTGCACTCTCGCCAACAGCCTCGTCATCGGTCACCTAATTTTACAATGTACCTAATTTCGGTATGCGGGTGCCTTGCCGATTGTAGAAAATTCGTTAAGATGCTCGTATAAAATACTTTATTGTTTTACAAGGTGTAATAAAAAAAAAAGTTATTCACAAACAGCACAGAACACATACTCCGTGCGCGGATAATGCATTGGTATAAAAAGAAAATTGTAGAATATTGCTGACAAATACGAATATAATTTCTAAGGAAATGCATCTAAAACAATATTCTTATAAACCTAATACTACTGAGTTTCCTTTCTTTTCATTATAATAACTACCGTGCAGATTTAAACAGCTAGTTCAGATTTGAAACACGACTTATCATTTGCAAGAATGCAAAATTGAAATAAACGAACGTTTACATAGTCATCATTGTGCAAAGTCTGTTGATTACTATGGAATAATGCAGTATTGTTGTCAGAAAGAAATAACAAAGGGATAATGTACACCATATATAGGTGAAAGCAACCGAGGTGAATTTTCTGGTGAACCGTGTTTGACGTAATAAAAATTAATGTACAGCAGAACAAAACTGTTTTAAACCGAATGCAAATAAGAAATAGAGTATTTCACCTACAGTTCCAAGGTCGCGTTGTTCGAAACGTCTTAACCGACGACGGAAAAACATTATGTACAATACAAGAATATGATATTTCCACAACTATAAAACACTTTCCTCATATAATATTAAATTAATTGTCAAATTGTTTCTACTTTAAACTAATATCACAATTTTGATACAATTAAATTAAAATAGCAGTTTAGAAATATCGTACTTATAGTAATTACATATTCTTTATAAGATTATTGCCTCTAAGAAGCGTCTCGAGCGTTTTCTTAACATGATACAATTTAATAAAGAATTAAAAAGTATTAAAATACAATCTCGGAACTCTGGATGAAACAACGCGTGTGAGATTCAGGAAACATGCCAATTCGCAATTAATACGTTTAATTCGACACCTTTGTATACTAGTCGCTGTAACGATATTAAGAAACGCTAGCTTGGCTAGGGTTAGATACTAACCCTTACCTGGCCATCCTGGCTGCGAGGACGTCGTGGCGGACCACCACCTCTTCCTCCGCGGAAATTGCGGCGGAAGTAACGTCGTGATGGACCACCGCGTCCACGACCACCACCGCGCGGGGGAGCGCCACCCTCGCCGCCGGTTCCTTCCGCTTGCTCACCACCTTCGCCAGCATTATCTCCTTGCTGCGCTGAATTGGGCCCGGAACGCCGTCCTCCACGGTAATAACCGTCATAATGACGACGTAGCCTATAACGACGCTGTTGCTGCTGTGGCTGGCCGCCTCCCTCGGCATTTGAGTCATCACCGCCGACCTTTCCCTCGCCTAAATCATCAAACAGGCAAATCACTCTTAAAGAACAAATCACTCTGAAAGAACAAACAAATTGAGATTTAAACAAATGGTAGAGACAACGTACCTTGCTCGTAACCCTCCTGGCCTTCGCGTGATCTACGATTCTGCGGTCGACCATTGCCGCGTCTCGGATACACCCAGTGGATACCGCGATACCCGCGACGTTTGTCCGCGGCATAGGGTGAACCTTTCACTGCTTCACCCGCTGGACCGGTGACATTGGCGGCTTCGTGGCCCTTCTCGCCGATAACGACGTCGAACTCGACGACCTCACCATCTCCCACGCTGCGCACGGCCTTTCTCGGGTTGTTCTTGACGATGGCCGACTACAATTACACATAGCATCGACATATAGTGAGATTACCTTAAAAATATTGACGCTAATTAACGTATTAAATGAGACACTTACTTGATGGACGAATACATCTTCCTTGGTATCATTTCTGAAACAGACAGGACGAATAATTGTGTTAAAAAAGCAGTCGATGTCTATATCTTTACAGTAAGTTTTTAAGTTAAGATTAATATATATATATATATATATTTTTTTATATATATATATACTGTATAAAAATAATAAGTATTTATCAGTATTTATTATTTTTAATAATTTTTAAACAAATATTACGATAGACCATTGATTATTTCCATATTAAGCAATTTCGTGATGGCAGACGATTATTATATTCGAAACAACTCTGAATGTCCATTTCAAAACGACCACAATTCACATTTCTTTTTTAATTCGCGTCAAGTTCTTGTTTAATCATAAGAAAGCATAATTGCGTCCACCTGCTCGTGAAATTTGACATAATCGCATTTAATACGAGATCCGCGTAATTTACATTCTCTACAAAGTTGCGCCATGTACATACACGCGTCGCGCATGACGATATGTATTTACATCTGTCCTACGCATGGATTCGCAGACGTACAGACATAATCGGAATCCATGAAGCTGCGGAGCAAAGCACGGAGTAGAGAGGTCATAGAACCCTGCACGTTGCACACAATTAGAAGAGAAATACAACTCGTACACAAACGCCAGCTGTCACAGCTAGACAGCGACTCCCCTTCCCCACGCGCATTTAACAAAAGGTGAATCAGGTACATACATGTTTTCAGAGTCGAATCACCGAATTACCTGCATCGACATTCATTTTGTTTAATTATCTTTACGAGAAGCAAAATTAATGCATTATTATACGGGTGCACAATCGTTAAAAATTTTTATTTTCTCATTAATTTAAACGACAACACACAAACGATTCACTGTACCTTCTACTTGTCAACTTTAATATCAGTTGTACAAACAGAAATCTATCGTAGCGAAATTTCAGTGTTTGCCTCAGAACATGGATCGATACCGAATAATTAATGGTTACGATCCAATGGGTATTGAGGCGGAACGTTGCTCTCCCATTGTGGTACAATCGAATTCGCCGAATTTGAGGCGAACACGACGAATGAACAATGGACTCGGTATTCTCGGTAAATACTATTAGGTTCCAACAAAACGTATGATTTTAAGAACAGATTCCCAGGTGACTACTAATTCATTTATAATTTTGCAGATTCGTAGAGAATTAGAGAATATTGTCCCGGAAATATCTTCAAATAATTCTGAGTGAGATTAAAAGAGATTTTCGGTTCTATTCTAAATGAATAGCCACACATTGTAAAACGACTTCCTTTTACGTATTCTAAATTTAAAGATTATTCTAATTATCAAGAAGACAATCGCGCATATTGATAAATCTAATAAATTTATATCTTTACCAAAAAATCACTTGTAAATAAGTCTGAATGAGCAACATATGAGATATAACGTTGAAACTCCTTCCAAAAATATAAATAAATTTTTATATTTTGAGAGAAATATTTAATATATATAAATCATATAATTATTAACTTTATATATAAATATAAAATTATAAATCAATAATTTATATAATTTTATATATAGACTATCTTTTATATATGTATTCCTGGCGCTCTTAAAAAGATAAGATACCGATATTAAAACAAGCAATACAAATATCTATTACACTTTTACATTTCTGAAGATAAGTACTTGAAAGTGAAAAAAAAAACCGAGTATCTGACACGCGACAATTTGCTCGTCGTTGGGGACAATTCAAGGAAAGCGTTATTATTCTATTTTTGTAAAACACAGCTGCATCGTAACGGTCATTTCTAATATTTTGCGACACGTCGAGTACCGTTTTGTGTCAGAGTGAAAGTGCATTCGAGATCTCTCGAGGGCAGGTAGGTAAACGTTCGAGTTTAAGAACGATCGTGCGAAACTATTTTCCGCCCCCTCCCATGTATATACGCAAGAAAGAACGCCGGGAAGTCGAGCGAGAAGTCACACATGTTGTGCGAATTCCTTTTCCGAAACACGGCTTCGTCCTCGTCGCGAAACGCTCGAAAGAGCCTGTTGTCTGATCGCGCGCGGGCGCGTGCGCGAAAGTTCCTCACGCGTCAAGCATCACCGCGCGGGCGCGCGAAAATCTCCTGGCAATCCGCCAGGTAAATAGAGAGACCTCGAAATAGCGAGGAACCGGCTCCTACGTTCCTATACGGCCCGTCCACGTGCCGAATGAAGCGTCTATTTTCCGTGCGGCGTGGTGCCAGGTCGAGGTTGCAGGTCGAACCCGCAGCGGGGACGGCGATTTTCCTAATATTAGTTAGACTACCACCGTGCGCGCTGAAATCGTTATCAATTAGTCTCGACGGTTTCTCGCGTCCCAAATATTATGTTAAATTTTCAGGCCGAAGGCGAAACGCAAAATTAATAGCGTCAGATATCAGTCCAGAAATTCACGCACGTTCTATTACAAACGGTTCGAATGAAGAGAATTAGAAGAGTAGAATGAGAACAAATTGTCGATGATAAAACAGATGACCATTGATTAAGAAAATAAATATGTTTCATTAAATTAAAATTAAATGTTAAATCTAAGAAACGGATGTTTCATTTACTTTGCTTCGAGATTTCTCGAAAGAAGTTATAAATATTTATTTTGCTTCGAGATTTTTCAGAGAGCGTGAAATTATGGATTGACAAATAGCTATTAACGCGAAAACGAAAATTTTCTCAAGGGACAGCCGCGTGCGTCAGACAACATTCTTCTTGAATAATTTAACGCGCGCGACGGAAGTCGCGGAAAATTTATTCGGCAAATTAACGCGCGACGCACGCGGAATATGAGCAAACATAATTTCAAACATGGTTTGCGGATAAGAGAATAAAGCGGCGAAAAAAAATAATTAGACATTTCGCGACGTGTTCGCGGGGAATTTTTCATGGCAGATGCAACGGTTAATATGTCGCTTTAATACTCGGTTGCGGCGCGAAGTGGACGTTTAAATTAATAGTGTATGATTAACCCTTACGCCCACACACGACACTCGCACGCACACACACGGACAGGCAAGCGAACAGAGAGGTGGATGCGTTCTCTTCTATCTAGTAATACGTAAAGGGGCGAGCGTCGCAAATGATGAAAAAAAATAAGATAGAGAAAAGCGCGAGGCAGTTGCGAAATAATAATTACTGACCTATTAATGAAACCGTAGCCACTCTTGACATTGAACCATTTCACAGTTCCGGTCACTTTGTTCGCTGAAATAAAAAAAAAGTTTCATGATAAATGTGATACATGTGGTGCGCATGCAATTGTGTATAAAATTCAGAACAAAATTCAAGGATGACCAACTCATAACTTTCGTTTGCGTTAAAATGTTGCGGTATAATTTAAGAAAAAAAAAATAATAATTAAAAGATGTAATTATATAAAGAAAACTGTATCCAGAATATTCGAATCGCGTGCATGAATAATGAGTCAGGAAAATGTTGCCTGTTACTTATTGTTATTATTAAATTGTGAAAGCGACCTTCAAGAGGGAAATAACGTGCTTAACCGCAGGTACATATTATTATCACGTGTTTACGGACACGTAAGCATGTTCGAAGACGAAATACAACGGCAACCGTTTTTACATATGGTGAATAATATTTCCAGGAATAATGCGTTAGAAGTCGGAGAAAATCGAGCGAAAGATAAGATCGACAGGGGAAAAGTAATGCGATTAGACGAGCGATGGTGACACGAGTGATTAATTTAAATTTCTCACATACTAATTTCTAATGGTCTCTAAAGCAAATACGTGTATATCTTTGAATTTTAAGGAAATGCAAAGTTATCCGGAGAGACTTTCGAAAATGTATGAATTCATGAAGGGAATGTAAATTCCGTTGGAGAGCGTAGCGTATGTTATTACATGTACACCGCCCGTTTCGATCTTGCGTTTCGACGAAAATATGATAAGACAAATCTTCACAACAGTTACACGCGACCTTGTCAGTGTAACTCAAACGAAGGTCGAAATTGGTGGCAGCCAACGATAGGATCGTGATCACACCGACGAAATTCCTCGAGTTTTGAGAATCTGCGTAATATTCCCTGAACAATCAAATGATTAATGTTCGTGGAATTTATATCAAAAGGCACCACCTTCCTATCTCAACAATCTTGAGATACGAACGTAATTTAAAACTCGATTAAAGTATAATGACTTGATTGGACATTAACGAGGGCATAGAAACATTTCTAAACGTGAATTTTAATGAGGCACAATCTGATACGTACATTAACAGCCTAACACTAGATAATTAGTCTATGTAATTAGTTTCTGGACGTTTTCAAGATAAACTTAACTCATAAAATTCCCGGAGTGATCGACAGACTCTTGCAACGAACTTTCTCGATCGAATTTGATCTTTAACGACTTCTCGGGCCATGGAAAATCGAAAAAGACGCAATTGAATATGTTTTATTGAATCTTATTATGAATTTTAATAAAACGCCTGTTCATAAATTAATAGCATTTTAAATAGATTAGTAAGAGTTTAATATTTTTGGAGATAAATTTATATAATCTTAATTTAATCAATAATCTCTTCAACCATCTCTTCAACCATTTCTCAGTTTAAGAAAAAAAATAGACGCGGTTGGACGTGTTCCATTGAATCTTATTATGAATTTTAATAAAACGTGTGCACATAAATTAATAACATTTTAAATAGATTAGTAGGAATTGGATGTTTCTGGAGGTAAATTTATAATCCAAATTTGATCTCTTCAATTATTTTTCAGTTTAGGAAAAAAGTAGAC